GGGCCGCCAGCATCATCCCTGCAAGACCCAGCAGGGCGAGTCCGGACGAGGGCAGGGCCAGCGGCGGCGGAGTCCAGGCTTCGACGGGCGCCTGGACCCTTTGTCCTGCGGTGGAGGGTCCCGGGTCCGGGACTCGGCCCAGGCCGGGGGGCGTGGCCGGGCCGGGGAGTGGGCGGGGCCTTGGCGTGCAGTCTGCAGCGCGGCCTCGCGTCTCGGCCCCGCAGGCTCCCAGTCGCCTTCCTACTCAGCCTCTCTTGTCCCGGGACTTTTTGATAGAGGGGGGGCGTAATTTGGCCCCGCCTGGAGAGGGCAGGGCGCCCCGGGGAGGCGAGGACCCACCTGGAGGCTGTGGGGCTGTGGGGACCGAGAGCCGGAAGGAGCGTGGGTGGCTCGGAGCAGGCGGGAGGCTGAAGTGGGCTGGCGCTGCGCTGTCCCCAGAGTCTGGCTGATAAAGTCCCCGCGGCTAACTATAGCCCCCGCGGCGGTAACCCGACACCCCTTTTCCCCAACAACAGACACGGGTGGGGGAGCCGGAGTGGCGGGGCAAGGGGCTGAGGGGCGTGACTCCCCAGCCCTAGGACTGCGGGTTCTGTCTCAGGACCCGTTCGCCGCCTAGCCAGGCCTGGGGTGCAGGAGGGGACGTGTGAGACTCGGTCTCTCCCTCGGGTGGGCCCTGAGCCGGCTGGTCCCGGTCCCCTCCACGAGCCGGCTGGTCCCGCCCGCCCCGAGGTGTCCACGAGCACTGGCCGATTTGCCCACGACTTGCACACGGCCCACAGGTCGGGTCGCGGGCTCCGGCATGTGAACAGCACCCACTCCCCTCCCGTCTCTTCATCTCGCCCCTTCCCCATCGGTAGGGTCACACCAGAGACGGGGCTCTGGGTCCCAGCCCCGCCCCGTCCCCAGGTCCTCTCTTTTGTCCTCCTGAACTCAGGCGACCCGACCTCATGTTTGTAAACACTAGCCTTCCCCCCCACACACCTCTTCTGGGCTCGTCTATAAATAACCTGGCTGGGAGATCTGGGTGCCCAGTCAGAGATAAGGGGAGAAGGGGCTACTTGAAGAATCCCTAAATGGCTCTGGAAGAGGAGGAGAAAGGATGTCACTCTCCCAGAGTGGCCAGAGGACATACATGTCAAGATTTGAAAGACGCTGCCTGCTGGGCATCGGGGATGGGATGGGAGAATTAGACCTTTTCTACCCAAAGGACTCTGCCTGGTCTGGCCCACTAATTTGCCCATCCTTGTCCCCCTGTCCCCTCAGATTATCAGCCAAATAAAGAGCTTCCTTCACCTAGAATCACATTTACTCCAAAGTCTTCCTAAAGATGAGTTAGGGGATCCAGCAGGGGGCGTGGTGCAACACTAGACTCCCACATGGCAGGCGCAGTTTGAGTCCTGGACCTGGTGACTTGCTTTCTTGTTTTCCCTTTCTCTCTTGCCCTCTCTCTCTCTGGTCAAATAAAAAATAACAATAGTAATAAATAAAATAAATAATTCTTTAAAATAAAAAAGAAGAATTAGACAATTTGTGTCCAGGCATGTGGGAGGATGGGGAGAGAGGAGGAAAGAATGGCATCCCCCCAAAACAGAGTGCTTGTTAGGAAAACAGCTTCAAGACAAGTTCTTACCCCATTGCAATGAGACTAGCCACTCCAAAGCTGTCCTAGATCAGAAAACGAGGAGTCACCACCTTTACCAGTATTATCATACCTGCCACTGTTCCCTGGGGGCACCTGAACGTTTGCAGTGGCTAGAATGAAAGATACTGTCTGGAGAGTTTGGCCTGCTGGGAAGGCCCTGGGACTGACTGGATCTACAAGGATCTGACTGCTTTGTCCTCTCTCCACCTCACCTTGGGACATGACTTCTCCCGTCTCAGCACCTGGAAGTCCCCAAAGGCCCCATGAGGTGGACTCAGATCTGGTCATTGGACAAGAGTCCTGAGTTGAATAAAGTCCTCCAAAATCACAGGGTGGTCAGGGCTGGAGCTGGGGCCCGGAACCCAGTTCCCTGGGCCGACTCCCCTCGTACCTTAGGCAAGGTGCAAGGTGCACTCCCCTGGACTTGATGCAAATCTCCAGGCTCACATGGAAGGAGATGTAAGGAGATGCCCTTGAGGCCAGAGCACTGAAGCCTGCTCTGCTTCTCCCCAGGGAGAGCAGAACAGGAGCTTCAAGGGAGTGCTATATCAGGAAAATTAAATACAGACACACAGAAATAAGAGTTCAAAAACTAAGAAAATGGCCAACTTAATCATAGAGACAAGTCTGGAGTTGAATATTATATCCCAGAATTTAATCAAGAAAATTGAAGCACAGCAGAAGATAAAGTACATGAGACTGAATTGGTGAAATAGAATTTTATGACTTTTGACTAAAACATGGCTGATTTTCTTGTAGGCTTTGTTGTCTGCTTGTAAGGATTTGTGTCCTGTCTTGAGATATGGATAGGTTCATTGTACCTACCATTTGAACAGAATCCTAACTTGTTTCCTAGCTTTAAGTTTTAAGCAAAGTTCCTTAGCATTTCTTTGGTTTAAGTTAAAACTGCTTTTCTTGAAACTACCAGCTGAACTTGCTATTGAAAGTAGTTAGATTATTTAAGAAATTGTGTGACCAATACAATGTGGGGGGAAAAGGAATAGAAGACAACTGTAGACATCAGAGACAGTGTGAGAAGAGGATAGTTGGAAAATGCCAGAGGGTCAGAAATAGGAGTTAAAAAAAAAAATACTAGAAACTACAAATGGAAAATTTTTGACGATAGCATGCATGGTTAAGCCACTATGCAGTAAATTCTGGATAGGAAATCACATTTTGTATGCTGTGATGATGCTTAGGGAATGAATGTAAATTAAGTTAAAAGTTTCAGGAAAAAAAAAACCCCTAAAACTTTTTCTTGAAATTAAAATAAATGCATTAAAAATTAAAAAAAAATTTTTTTTAATTAAAAAAAAAAAGAACACAGGGCTAAGCCCAGTGAGCAGGCAGTTGTCCTGCCCTGGATCCTCAGTGCCTCAGCCACATTTCCTGGCGTCTGGGATTCCGTGTTTTTAATGAAGAGCCCTGGCCCAGGTCAGATTGGGAGGAGGCTAGTGTTCCTGAGCTTTGAGGAGACGTCCAGAAATAGATGGGGGAGTGTCACATTTCTGAGCAGCTGTGTGGGGGAGGCACGGGGCTGAATCCACGGTATAAAGGAGAACCCCGTCCTCTCCCCCATCGCAAGAGACCCACCAGCTCCCACCCTGGAGAAGGCCTAGGTAAGGTACACGCGCCCTCCTTCTGGGAACCAGGCAGGGGATGTTTTCTGAGTTGAAATTGGGGGGGATTCATGGTCATGAGGAAAAGTTGCAGAGAACATGTTACGGAGAGGTTTGGGGCCGCTAGGAAGTCTGGGGGTCCGGGAGAGCTATTTGGGTCACATTCTGTACAGCCTCACCTCCCAGCCCACCCCATCCGGCCTCCATGCCATCTCCCCCTGACTTTGACAGTGTCACCAAGGTCAGCAATCTACCTGCCCCGCAGAGGCCTACAGCACTGGCTGTCCCAGGAACCCCAGACTCGCAGCAAACATTCCGGGGTGCCACCTGCACCTGACCTTGGGCTTAGTGCTGT